GTAAATGACTCCATTTAGAAGTTTTATTGAGATGTGAGTATTCCTGACTGTGAAGATGCTCCCTGCTTCACTCATTCTTATGGAAATATTGACCCTTGGGTGGAACCAATACAGTTTTTGTGGTTACCTACCAAGGAAGTGTGGGAATAGAGGTCATACATCAACTCAGAGAGGAACTCAACTTGTGATTCATGTAGCTGATTTGTTTTTCCCAAGATACTTAGTGGGGGCTTTTCCTTTACTAATTTAATACTGAATGTTTGTGTGTCTTCCTGCCCCCCTGGCCCATTCATATGTTGATATCCTAACCTCCAAGGTGATAATGGTATTAGAAGATGCAAATCGATTAAGTCATGAGGGTGGAGTCCTAATGAATGGGATTTGTTCTCTTATAGAACCTACCCATGAGCATTCTCTTGCCCAGTCTGCAATATGAGGACACAGTGGGGAGATGGCCTTCTGTGAACCAGGAAATGGATTCTCACCAGACATCAAATCTGCCACAACATTGATTTTGGATTTTCCAGCCTCCAGAAAGGTGAGAAATGTTTATTATTGTCTGTGGTATTTTTGTTATAGTATACTAAATTGACTAAGACATATACTCTGTCTTTCCGTCCATGTACTAGTCAACTAGGTTCTGTAAGTACTGGTGATGCAGTGTGTATCAATGCATCCCTGCCCATCCTTGAACCAAGCATGTCACTTTCCAGTTTAGAGGCTTCTTTCTTTTTATTAGTACTTACAAAGAATATACTTGATATAGTTGGGATTTTATGTATGTTAGATTTTATTAAAGTGACCACAACTACCATAAGACATTCATCCTTATGATAAAAACTGCATTCCCTGAGGGCAGGATTCTACTCTATGAACTATATTAACTTGATATATAATTTAGACAAAAAAATGCTTGAGATAGTAAAACAGGAACTCAATTCAGGCTCAGTGTTCAAACTTGTAGAATGACTTTGGGTATAATTCCTCCTCTGTGAAAATTGAAGATTGACAGATCTTTAATGTCCCCTGTAGCCCTACTTGACTGTGATTCTATATGGCCACTCCCTCTCCATTTTCCCTGATAAATTCACCATCTTTAAACCTAATAATGTATTCGACCTCAAAGTCTATTTTTACTGATATTAACAATGCTACATCAACTTCCTTTTATCTGTTTAGTCTGTCTTTATCTATCCTTTCATTTTCAACCTTTCTTTCCCTTTATTTTTAATTTATAATTTGTAGGCTGACTACCTCTGTCTTTTTAATGACCAGTTTTGTCCAATTACATTTATTGTGATTATTGGGGTGGTAAGTTTTGCTATGTCTATATGTCCAGCTATTTTAATAATTTCCTGCTTTCATTTGTAAAATGCCCCCCTATTAATTTAAGTCATACAGGCTATAGCTTGTAGAGGTTAATCACTTCTCACCCTTTGACTCTGGGATCTCTTTCTCCAATCATTTATCACCATCTAGTGGTTCCATATTATTCCTTCTTTCCACAGAAAAGAGAACAGGAGAAAATGTTTGTCATGGAGATAATTTCATTAGCATAGACAACCTAACAAGATACTTCATATTTAAAATTATATTCTTGTACTTGGATAACCCAAAGCCTCTTTCCTCCTGTTGTGTCCATTTGTTTTACTTACCAATTGTTCTTCCACTTGGTGACACACAGTCTCTGTGTCACTATGATATTAATCACCTAAGGAAGCCTTGCTGCTAGTGTGACCTCTTCTTGGCCTTCTCTTTGAAGGGAGCAGATAAGCCAGGGTCCAGAATTTCCCAATGATTTTATTTGATAGCTAATTAATGACCTTCTGTAGTTTCCATGGCAATGCCATGCTTTGCTGCCAGGCCTTATCCAATTGGCCTTCTGTTCACTCTTTTGCCTTAGCATCAGCATATTAATCAGACACCACAGGTCCTTGGTTGCTGCATCAAATTGGTAAGACACTAATTGAATTAAAATCTCACTTGAAGGCATCAGGCTTATTTTTCTTCCCAGCTTGGGGGGAACTTAGTTAGCTGAGAGGGCCAGAATCAAACAGGAGACACATTGAAATCCACCGCACTTTGTGTCCTTTTATAGCAAAGTATTTTCCTTTAGCCTTTGAATAAATATTTTGATGTCTGAATCTCTCTTTTTGAAAATTTCTATATTGCCCTGACCTTTTCAATGTATTCTCTTTGTAATGTGGAGTATTTTCAAGGTGAAGAGGCTCTCTCTCTCTCACTCACTCACTCACACACACACACACACACACACACACACACACACAACACACACACATAGAGTTGGTGAAGTTGGAAGGCTCTAACTGAATTGTGATAAGGATTAGGTAGCACAGTTCATATGAAAATTGCCTAGAAATCTGTAAAGTGCTGTGCAAATAGAGGGATTATTATATCTTGAGTCCTTGGAAGGCAGAAATGAAAGGAAGAGAAGCAACTGAGGGATGATCAGCCTTAAATTCATTCTTTAGCTCATGAGGATTATGAATGATTATTTCAATTTCTGATAATAAGTTGAAATCCTCAACTCTCCTTGGTAACTTACCATTTAAAATGACACCTTTCTAAAATTGTTATTGTAACTGACCAGTAGTGCCCCATGCATACATATACCTCTGTGCTGTGCATTCTCTGCTCCTTGGCCCTTTGCGCCTTGTGATTTGCCCAAGTCCATTCATTTATAACACTCAGAATGCACTTGCCTAGCCCTATGAACAGAATCAATATCTTCTTCCGGGCTCCTCTGTGTGCCCGGCCCTACAATGGCACTCATCATGGTGAACTGTAATTAATTACTGTTTATTTTTTAATCGGTGCATATGTCTGTCTTTTTTCATTAGTCTGTGAGTGACACAAAAGCATGGACCGTTTCTTACAAATCTTCATTTTTCTGACATGCTTCATTCATGGACTAGGTGTTGTAAACATGTCTCATGATTTACTGACCTGCAAAATCTTGTTCTTGGTCAACAACTGCTATGTGCCCTTTAGAATGAAGAACTTCCAACTTAAATGAACACCGAATCCTCTCAGCATATGAGGTCCAAAAAACTATATGAATGGGAAGTGCATGTCAAGTGTTAAAACTGGTTTAGAAATACGTTAATGTGTACTAACATATTTAATTGGAGATTATTAAAATCGGAGTTTACCACTATGGAAAAAATACCCTCTAGACACACAAACTAGGTAATTCTCTACTTCTTACGCATGGCAGGTCTCAGCTTCTTTCACCTTAAAATAAACTGTATTGGGAATGGTGTTCTCCTTGAAACACATTGTCATAGACCCCAATGACCTGTGAGATAGGACTTTGTGTTTTATCTCAGATAGCATTACTGTGAGAGAAATACACATTCCTGGACCAGAACCAGTGTGTGTGTGTGTGTGTGTGTGTTTCTGTGTGTGTGTGTGTGAGGAGGTAATGCAAATCCTGGTCAGGGTATGAGAGATCTGCATAATATATATTTTTGTAACACAGCCTGGAACAAGCATGTGTACCCCTTTTTAGCAATCACAGAGAGTGGAAGATGGCATTAATTAGCTTCCTGTCCCTGAAATGGCCCAGCCAGCCAACAGCAGGCATCTCCCTAAGATGGTAAAGGGGTATTTGCACCGGACAGATGTTGAGACCACAGGTGTCCTGCTCTGTTCCAGCCTGAAAGTGTGTGATCCTGTTTCTCTGCCAGTCCAGAAGCGAAGATCCAGATGCTCAGAAGCATGTCCAGCAAGTTCCTCAGCAAAAGGATGCACACAGTGTTTCTGGCGACAGAGTGGCACCTGCCCACATTCTCTAGAGGTGAGCTTTGAAGTCACTTTCCTTCTTGCGTCTCTCTCCCCCCAGCTTGATCTCTAAGCCCTGCATGAGTCTTCTCGGCTTTCACAGATGCCAAAGAAATGGCAGTGTTATTTTATGGATGTGTGTGTATTCCGAGTTAATAAAAAATAATTTTTTAGAGACTTCCTTGGGGAAGTCAGCTTGGCAGACCAAGGCACTATTTAAGCCTATCCTATTTTATTTTTTATTTAGGTTATTGATTTTTATTCAAATTAAATTTTAATATGTGTGGTATTTCTAGGAAATCTGACATAATTTCTGTTTTTGGAGAAAGTAGGCGAAAGGGGTTTCATGACTAAAGGAAAAAGAAAAAAAGCCGGAGGCTGAATTATATTCTGTCCCTTGGCAGTTAGCCTGGAGAATGCAGGAGCGTGGCAGTGATTTAGGAGGGCCTGCCCAGGAACCGGGGCCTCATGCAGGCAGTAACTGTGTGTAGCCACGGGCATGCCTTTCTCTCGAGTCTATTCCCAGAGAAATAGAGGCCCTGGACTGCTGACAGCTAAGGTTGTTCCTGTCTTGGCCCCGTGTGATGATGGGAATACCTCCCATCTGTTGTCCAGCTTCCATGAGCTTCAGTGTACTCACCATGAAGGCAGTGAGGTGGATAAGATAGCCCGTGACTGCATCCACCACCCTGGTGTGACAATGAGTCCAAAGAACCACAAAGAAGCAAGCAGAGAGAGGGAAGAAATCATAACCGAAGAAATATCTTCTTTATCTATGTCCATTTCCTCCCACAAGGAAAAATGGCAGTGTCGGTTGTACATTACATATAGCTCTCTCTCCTTCCCGCGTGTCCCCTTAGCACCTGCACAGCAGAGACCTTTACAATCCATAGCGTAGGCTCTCCCCGCCTCCCCCTCCGCCCAGCACCTGAGGCCTAAGAAGCCACTCCAGCTCCCTCCGAGCTCCTCCCTGTGACAGAGTATAGACATAACAAACATGCCCCACGGTTTCACACAGTCGCTCGCTCGATCGCGTTCAGTGTCCAACGGATGAAGATGTTTTCCCTCCGTCTCTTCGAATAGGTAATTACACTTTACAAATATCTTATTGATGTCGCATGGTTTTTCTTTCGTCCTGTTACTGTTTGTTTTGTTACAACAAAAGGGAAACGTCCCACGGCCCCGGGACTGGCCGGTTAGCAGAGCTTGGCTGTCATCTGGTCGGACTGTTTGAGGATCTCCGTGTTGTAGAGGTCCAGGGCGTGGTTCACCCTGATGATCTCGCTGTTGGTGAGCTTCAGGCGGTGCTTCAGCATACAGGAGAACAGGTCCAGCTGCGGCTTCCCGGGTGCCACCGGCGGGGCCAGGCGGTTGATTCGGTCCCGGATGTCCAGCAAGAGGAGCATCACGGATGAGGACGAGTAGAACTGGCCGCCCTGCGTGTAGGACTGGTTGACCTGCTGCACGGCGCTGCGCAGCAGGTCGGCGTTGAAGCGCAGGCTGTAGCCGAACACCTGCACGTCCGAGATCTTGATGTAGAACTGGCGCTTGCTCGGGTCGGACAGGTCCACGGGGCCCTGGCCGGTCTCATTGCGCAGGACGGTGGCCAGCCGAGTCCGACTGCGCAGGTAGATGTGCACCGTCTCGAAGAACGTCTTCCACCGGTTGCCCAGCAGGAGGGTCCAGTTGTAGCACTGGCTGTTCTGCAGGCGGACCTTCTCCCAGCGCGGGTAGCCAAATTCACCAAAGGGCATGTTCCAGCCCTCCGAGTGGCTGCCGCTGAACGGGTTGACATAGACGAAGAACATGGGGTCCAGGCTGCTGTTGCGCATCTGGCAGATGCGCATGGACATGCCGATCACCATGTGGATGAAGTCCATGCGGTTCTTGTTGCTCTTGAGCGTGAGGGACATGCGCTTGCGCCACCGCGGGTCGAAGAAGGTGTCCAGGCGGATCTCGTTGCTGACGAAGGTGGTGTGCACGTAGAGGCGCGAGTCCATCTTCTGCAGCAGGTACTTGAGCTCCAGGTCCTGGAAGTCCAGGTCGGTCTCGAAGCTGATGAACTGCTCGCTGCGCTCCGAGTCCACGTTCTGGGGCTCGCAGCGGCCGCGGTACAGCTTGTAGCCCTTGTTGCAGGAGCCGCAGAGCGAGATGTTGGCCAGGCTGCACATGGCGCAGCTGTTGTTGCCGCCGATGACACAGGGGATGGGGCGCTGGCACAGCGTGGTGCTGCCGTGGCACACGCAGCTCCGCTGGCTCTCCAGGAAGGTGCCCCAGAACCCGTTCTCGTTGCAGTAGAGAAGTGACTGCACCCTGGCCAGCCACTGCTGAATCGTCCTGGGGACAGAGGGAGAACGGAGAAGGTTAACCACCAGGGGCAGGCACTGAGTGATGAGTGTCCAACCGGTCATGGAGATGCCCCAAGAATAAAAGGGCTGGACATCAGTTAGGACAGGAAGGGCTCTGAATGGAAGTTAGGAGAAGGGCAGTGCCAGTCCTTGTAACCCACAGGCCAGCTCTACTAGCAGGACGCTGGACTTCCCCCTGTATGTTCACTGTCCAATCCGTAAAGCTTAGGGGTTGGAGTGCGCTTCTTGAGGCTCCTTCTAACTCCATGATTCCATTATACATGCGCCCCATTTAAGTTTGATTCAGGAAATTAAAATGTATGAATTCAAACACCCCTGCTGGATGACAACAGATTGAAAAAAGGGGGAAATCAGCACTAGAAAGTAGCTTTAACCTGCATCAGATGTTTCCCCACAGATTCTCTCAGGCGGTTATATAACATTCAGCCTCAACAAAAGCACGTTGTATTTTATATCACTCTAGAGATGACGAAGTGCTATCATACCGATGACCTGCTCTGACCCTGACAGCGGCTTCTCAAACAGGTAAGAAAGATGTCATTACCCCCATTTTCCCAGAGTTCCAAACTCTCAACTCAGTGGAGTTTCCATCACAGCCTGTATGTCTGGGTCTCCCTCCCCACAGCTGCTCAAAGGTGTGTAAAGACAGCCAACCTGTCACCAAATTCCTGCCATGGAAACTTTCCAGGTAAGATAGATACTCCACCAGATGGAACGCAACAGAATAGGTAAAAATATGCAAGGCAGTCAGCTTAGCGCCTCTCACCTTTCCGCATTCCTGTGCCAGTCACCTCCTGGCTGTCTTTCAAGCTACAAATAATTCCTTACAGTGTCTTGTGCTTCTTACCCTGCATGGGTTGCATTCACTCCCATTTTCTCCATACCCTGGCTCTTGCACACAGGAGGGTGGTGCTGGGCCTTTCCCTCTCCTTCCTAATCATGCTGACCACACGGGGCTGCAGGGAGGATTACATGCATTTTTATGCTTAGCTCCAGACCTGATAGGTATTAAGGGCTAGATTAAGGTGTCCAGATTTTAACATTAATAAAGCGGGACACCATTGACCTGGGGTGGGGGGAGGGGGAAGGTTCTTGATTAAAAATTTGGTCTATATGGAGCAACAAAAATTTTCATAGAACGCAAAAATAGTATTGTAATATATATTTTTTTTTAATTTTAGCATACATACAATTTATAAATATAATTAAAAATTATGTATAGTCCTGTCACTTTCAAGGCCGGTGCTAGACTTTTTGCTGCCACTATAAAATATAAATAATACGAGTACTGTCTGCTAAATTCAAGAAAATTTATGAAATAAATTACTTACCTAAATTATCTGAATAGCTGATTTGTAATGGCATAACTTGTTTAACTAGCTTACTAGAATTCAGTATGATGAGTATCGTCTGAGAGACAGTTACAAAATGTTTTCGTTGTTGCCAATCACAAAAAAAATGCCACTGTTCATTAAGTCCAAACAATGGTGGTGGAATTCTAACAACTGATCAACAATGTGAACTTTGATAAGCAGTTCTTGATAATCAGTTCTCAACAATTATTTGTTATTTATTAAAGTTTAACATTATAAAATTAACAAAAATGATATAAAACTCATATCCTGGCTAAATAGCCACATGGCTGCCAAAAACCGTATAATATATTCCCTTTCCAAAAATTGGGACTTTTTTAAAATGCTGCGGGACAAATGGTTAAAAATCGGGACTGTCCCACCAAAAGCAGGTCACCTTAGGCTAGATAAAAGTTAGCTCTTATGATTCCTGCAAGGGGACTGCCTGTTCCATTTTATAGATATGGCAATCACAGCTCAGAGGTGAAAGAACAGACCAAGTCACCCAGGGAGCTAGTAGAGAAGTCTTCTGGCTCAGAGTGTTTCCCCCCCTCCATTATATGTCAAGCAAGAGTTAAGAAAGCCCTTCCTGAGGCTACAGTGGGCTGTGGTGATGGTGTTGATGATGAAGGTGATGCATGATCCCCACTTTAGAATGCTGAAAGCAGAAGTCCTTTTGCATTGTACTGCCTGTGGGAGGGACGGTCAGCAGCCATCATCTATTCCATCACATCCACCACGCCCAGGAACCTCCTGTTGGGCAGTAGAGCCCAAGGTAAAAAGTGTGTGGGGGCCCAAGTAGAAGGGAGTTCTGAGCTCAGTTCTGTAACCAGGAACTTCATGTCTGTGAGCCTCAGTGTCCGTATCTCTGGTGGGAAAGATAAAGCCCATCTTCTGCAGTGGGTGAGAGGACTGAGTGAGATAATATATTTAAAGGCCGGAGCCCAGCATAGAACAATTATTGGAGAGGTAATAATAATAAATACTCTTATCCCAGGGAAGAGCTGTTTCTTTGAAGGTATTGAGGCATTCGGGGATTTCACTATCTCTCTGGAGTTGGAGGAAAACCAGTTTTTCATATGGGACATTTGAAAATGGATACTATTGAACCAGCTTCTCAGGATGCTGTGCTTTGAATGAGTTGCTTATCAGCTGAGAGGGATGGAGGCATAATTAGCCAGCCCCTTGAAATTGCTCTGCCTTTTCAATCCATAGAACCACCCGGCCCTGGCAATAAACCCCCACCACACTCAGAACATGGGTTTTCTTGTCAGTTCTCCCACCCAGGCTCTAAGACTTGGGGGCTAGAGGGGTCCCCTCCTTCCCTGAGCATCTAGCCCAGAGACTGGCTCCATATTAGTGTTTGCTGAGTGAACAAACGAAATTAATATTTTTGTTCTTGTTTTGCATTAAGAAGACCCACCTTCCCTTCTGCCCTCCGGACTGCGGTATTAGTTTTCAATACCATCCACCCACACAGCTCAGCCCCTGCCTCGGGTGCGTGAGACCAAGCCCATCTCAGCCTGGAGAACAGCAGCAGGCCACGCAGCTGGAATGCTAATGAGCTCTGCGGCTCTGGCCTCCCAGGCCAGAACATTGACTGAATATTGGCTGTGAGTCATCTGATCGTTTGGTGAGCTGCGGGGGCCGCTACATGTCTCCCATTGCACGGTTCCATCTGACGAGAGCCTAATTTCAAAACGTCCCTTTCTGATGGCCCACACTTGCCCCTGTCACTCCCTCTCCAAGTGACAGGACAGTACCCCATTTAGAGTTCCTCTGTTCCCATCTGCAAGGCACTCTGTAACCCCGCAGAGCACCCCCTTTCTCGTGTCTCATCATTGGGGTCCTTTGTCAGGGCCGCAGCCCTCACTCCTTGAATCAATGCTTGATTGTGGCTGAACTCTCAGAATCCTCAGGGGTGGGGACGAAAAGATGAAAGTTCCTGGTCATGCTGCAGCAGGCACAGGGGCCAGTGGCGCATTAGGATTCCAGCCCCGTTCGGCGGGAGGGACTGGGGACAGAGGCCCTCTGAGGCACATGAGCAAGCGGCATGGCACCTGCAGCTCCTGACCTCAGAATAATCAGGAGGTTGTGGGCTGTATCAATGAAGGCATTAATGCTCCAGCAAGAGCACTTAGAAAGAGGCAGCGTGCAGGGAGGGGGCAAAGTAGGGAGAGATGGAGGCGGGGAAGGGTGATCAGGGAGGGGAAAAGGATGCGGTGTTGGAGCTGATGGGGAAACGAAGGAGCTGGATGAGCAGACAGGGCAGTGCAGGAGGCACCTACAGAGGGGAAAGGTGATGGGAGGAAACTAGAGTGGGGAGGAGAGAGAAATGCAGCCACAACTTGCACTGTCTTACATAACTCATGAAATATGGGCTCTGGCTAGGCCTTGTGAGGCCGAGTGGTCCTTTTTGGCAAGAGGGAGGGGGCAGGTGGGAGGCAGTGTTACTACCAAGTCCTAATTCCCAAGGTCAGTGACCTTTCCTTTGCTTTTTAGTAACCTTGAGAAGAGCAAAACCAGAGATACAAGCTCATTCCAATTTGTCTGTTTGTTCTTAACAAGCAACTTCCAACCATGAGGACACCACCGGAATCAGATCAACCTCCTCTCCTTCTGCGTCTGCAGCCAGGACTCTTAGGTAGTAATTACTGATGGTCAGAAACCCTGCCATGCTTAACAGAGGGCAGCACCCTAAGTGGGCCAAGGCAATCAGGGGCTTACACCTTCTGAGCACTCACTGTGTACCGGGCATTGTGCTGGAGCAGCACAGCCAATCAGCTGCATGAAGGCAACGGGGCCAGCAGAAGGGAGAGAAACTGGTCTCCAATCATGAAGTGACTCTGTAGTCAGACATTGGGGTCCCTCCCTAACTCCAGCCTGGGCGCACTTTCTACAGCCTATCACAGTGTAAAATTATGACAAAGAGGCAGGCAAGAAGCAAGCAGGCCACAGGAAGAGAAATGCATTGAAACAGTGGAAAGTTTGAGCATGTGAAGGGCCCATTATCACATCCCTGGCTTCCTCTGGACCTACCAGGGATCCTTCTACTCCATTCAAAGATAATTGGAGCTCAGGACTAGTGCAGAGGGAGAGGCTGGGGACCAGGGGTAGGAGGGGCTGTGATCTATAAATACCATTTCCCAGGCTAGTTGGTGACAGCCTGCCTCAACCCTGGCAACAGAGGATGGCTTAATAGGCCGGCTGGAGGGAGGGGCTCACCAGGACCTGACACAGCCCCAGGGCAAGGAAGTCAGTTGAAGGCTGTAAGGACCAAGTTTTAAAATGCTTTTCTCTGTCCCTGGGGATCCAAAGCATTTCAGCTCACAGCCAAAGCTGAACTCCAATATGTCTAAATCAGCATCTTTCTGTTGGATGGGATTCCAATTCATTCTGACAGGGCCCTGCGGGGAGGGCGGAAGGAGGGAGGGAGGGAGGACAGGAAGAGGTGCTTTTATTTCTAAAGCCCACAGGCATGGACCCTCTGAGGCTTGCAGGACAGGGACTGGACCACAGAATAAGTCCGAGATGCTGCTCTGGAAATGTCAGGCCATCTCCCTCCTGCTCAGACTGAGCCCCCCGAGATCTGAGTGGACCCACATTTCTTGAGTGC